GAATCTGGCCTTGTGGTATGGTCTCCTCAGGCTTCCGGATGACTGGTCCCAGTCTCTGTTTCACACGCTCGCTCTGTGGGGCCGCCTTATCCTGACTTGGAATAATGGGTTCTTTCCTCTCTTGCCTTTGGATCTGCTTGCCTCCAGCACCTTGTTAGCAGATATGCTGAAGCCTGTGCTCATTACTTCTGTGCAGTTTAAAGTGACTAAGAGTTTTAGAATACCAGGATTTTCCTATCCTGCAAGAATCTCAGTCCTTATTAGGTAGCTAAGTGATTCTTAATGCCTATACTTAACAATTCGAAATTTAATCTTTGAATCAGTACAAGGCAGTAGAATGGTCTGAAAGGAGTACTAAATATTTCCTTATACTGAGTTATGGCTATGATATATAGTTTATGTATCTTCTGTATTACAGCATTATTTCTTAAAGGAGAATTTTATGAGACTCTAAGATTGTAACAAAATCTCCTTCAAGTAAGTAATCTTGGCAATCCTGACTTTTAAAATCAATGTTCTTTTGCAGAAATGAATATGTGATTCTAGATTCTTCCAAAAAATACATGAAACTAATCAAAACAGAAAAATAAGTAAAATGAAAATGTTTAATAAAACCATTTTGATATGTATAAACAAATCATAGTAATAAAAGAGGTAACACTTTATTTATTTATTTATTTTTGAGTTGGAGTCTCACTTTGTCGCCCAGACTGAAGTGACCTGCTGGGCTCCGACGATCCTTCCGCCTCAGCCTTCCAAGTAGTCGGAATTACAGGCATGTGCTACCACGCCCGGCTGATTTATTTTGATTTATTGTAGAGATGAGGTCTCGCTGCCCAGGCGGGCCTTGAACCGGCGGGCTCAGGCAATCCACTCACCTCAGTCTCCCAAAGGCGCGGGATTACAGGCTAAGCCACTGAGCCTGGCTACACTTTATTTTAATGGTAAACTTTTATCCTAATTTAATAGTACATTGGACATGTACTATTTCATGTAAAATCTTTGATCTCATTTAGGATATTAATACATAAAGAAAATATGTCTTTTAAAATTGCCTGTCCCTTTGTTGCTGTATTTATTTTGCATTGCCCTCTGTTTTGTGTGAGGGTTCAGACCACCTAAATAAAAAGCCAGTCTTTCCATGACTCAGAATCTACTTATGGGCATGAATTCTGTTGAAAAGAAACATGTAAAATATCAATAATGTGGCTGGGCTCGGTGGCTCAGCCTGCAATCCGAGAGCTTTGGGAGGCCGAGGTGAGTGGATTGCCTGAGCCCGCGGGTTCGAGACCCGCCTGGGCAACTTGGCGAGACCTCATCTCTACAATAAATCAAAAAAAAAATTAGCCGGGTGTGGTAGCACACGCCTGTAGTTCCAGCTACTTGGAAGGCGGAGGCGAAAGGATTGCCGGAGCCCAGCAGGCGAGGCTGCGATGGCCAGGAGCAGCCACTGCACTCCAGTCTGGGCGACAGAGTGAGACTCCAACTCAAAAAAAAAAATCAATAATGTGACAAAGGGAGTGTGAAAAGAAGAGGGCTGAGGCAAACAGGCCCTTTTCAGAAAATATCAATCTTACTTCAAAGGACACAAGGCCACAAAATAGTGTACACAGAGCATACTAAGTGGGGTGTTCAGGTATACTCTTGCCACATCTGATGACTCATAAGAATTAATCATAAAGTGGTACAAACGCAATAACCCTGAACAATAGCACTATATGATTTGGATATTTGTATTGCTACATTCTAAATTGTCTCCATCCTACTATAAGATCCTTTGTGTGTGGCATATATTATAATGAAGACACTGATGATATAAGCTAACACCAGTATTGTGAGGCCATGTTATTTCAGTGGCACTAGCCTAACTTTATAAAACTATATAGAAATGAATATAATATAGACAGAAAAACTATATTGAGGTTTAAATGAAATTAAAACTACTTCAATGCCAAAACTTTTTTTCCCCAAAATAATCCTAAAACCAAAAAAAAATGTGAAATGTACACTGAACAGTACCTAACACAATTAGGTCCCTAGTCTATATTGATCTGCTAATAGGATGTTTCAATAACATTGGATTTGTGATAAGATGGTGAACTGTGGAAAGGGAATTTTATTATTCATATTAAATTTGGGAGGTAAAAGAGAAACAATTACATGAGACCTTTCACTGGGGACCTAGTGGTGGATGGGCTGAAATAAGGCCTCAGTTTTCTGAAAATTTAACCAAAACATGTTAATCCTTTATTATTATTTTCCTAGAAGAGAAGAAGTATGTTGGCTTTGGAAAGAGACCTTAGATTACATGGAATATAAAATTAATTTTAGGTTTCACCTGTTGGCAGTAAATGTTAATTTAACATTGAAAACATTTCTTTCTTTAAAAAATGAACTACCTAAATATTTCTCATAAAGACTCCTTGATGATTCAAGGTAGAAAATGCAGGTGAGAGACAGAGCCTGTGTTTACCTCCCCCTGTATTAATAAATTTAAGCAATTATGAGAGGAACTACACAGTAATGATATATACAACTCTTGGATAATCCATTAACACAGACTTGTGACTGGACTTAATTACATCTAGGCCAGTGGAAATTTTGGTTACAACCATTTTCTTACTAAATAAGTCATAGGATTTTGTGCATTTCTGAAGCCTCTTTTCCTTATATCAACTTGCAAATTCAGAACAGTATTTATATGTACGCTTTTTGGGTATGGATTAACCTCCTAAAGTATATAATCCCAGTAATTATCAGTGACAGAAGGGATGAATAAATTATGCTTCAAAAACAATAAAATTAACAGTAAAAATGGCTTGCATAATTTTTTCTTAATGCATATACTTATATTAAATTTAATATTCTATATAACTGATATGACCCTGAAAGACTCACAATAAGTTATTAATCTTGAACTATACCACTATCTGTTTTGGGACAAAGAATAAAATAGAATTTAAAAGCTTCATGTTTTGGAAAGCTTTTTAAATTTAAGCACAGAATTGTGACGTGAATTGCAAATTCTAACAGCCTGCATGAGTGAAATGTCAATGCTGTGTTCATTTTTTTTTACACCAGAATGCAAGGATTAAGCTTCAGGTCTTGTTCATAAAATTAGAGCCAAAACCATCATTCTCTCTTCTTGCTGGGAGCTTAGCATAAGGCCACTAAGTGATAGGAGGCTGTTTTCTTTAAAGAAAGAATATTACAAATGAATTCAATTGGAAATATTGACAAAAGGGTGGAAATGTCCATGTTATTCTTACTTTTGAAGGCTGGCAAGTACCTGAAAACCATGGCACTTCATCTTGATTTGTGAGTCTGTGCTTTGATTTACTACAGTATTTTCCATCAAAAGAAAGTTTCATTTATTTACAACATCTGACATACTGATTAAACCATCCTGATTAAAAATAAGTTGTTTTGTATGCTGCAATATATTTTTGAGGGCAAGTTTATTAGGCTTTCATTTTAGAACATTTGCAAGGAGATTGAAATGACAGACCAAAGTCATTTTCCTTTTTAATATCATTGTTTATACTCCTTAAAGTACTAGTGTGAGTTCTGCACAGTGACACAGGTAGCTAACAGCTGGAGAGGGCAGGAGGGAATTTCTATCCCTACGCTATTCCAAAGAATGTAGACCAAATAATCACTAAGGGGATGTTTTTCTGGATACAGGCCTGAGAACTTATAAAAGGTTTCCAAGCTGCATTTACCCCTGAGCATGACCATCTCCTATACACATATTTATCCCGAGAGGCAACTATATACAGATCATGGGGTAAATTCCCTGGATACAGCTAAGATTCAGCTCAACAGAATCCTGTTTTAATTCAGGTTACATGTTATCTGTGTGAGACATCTCTGCTGTGCTCGCATGCTTTTAGGGTGGAAAGTGGAAACGGGAGGGCTATCCCTATGTCGTCGTCTGAAATATTATTCCTTGTTAATACCCACTTGACTTCTGAACCATTGACTTGTTTACACCTGCATTGCATCTTGGTAGAGTGCGCACGCATGTACACATGTGAATGTGCTTGTGCGCTAGAATCATGAAGTCCTGACAACTTGGGAAACTGGTATGCACGAAGGATTACATTGTGGAATGCCTCCTCTAAGGTGAAGATCCTTAACTGGAAATATGCTGTTATTCCTGTGAATTTTTACTTTGTAGTTTCTCTAAAAAGATTTTTGCCATTAAGAGGGCTCTATCTATGAACTCCTGAAACATTTCTGAGAACCTTTCTGGTAAATTCAGACCACAGTATAAAAAAACTATGCTTGTGTGTTTCTAAAGGCATAACTGATAAGAAGGCGTATTTTATGTTTTCATTTTCTTCCCTACTTTGATCATTGTCCTAGCTGCTCTTTTCTCCAGCCCACCCTCCTGCTCCAACTTGCTTCTTGCTCCACAGCTCTCTCTAACATCCTTTAAAAGCAGCTGCCTCGCTCTAATGTGATCTTTGAGGACGTTTTATGCATCATTTTCTGATGCTTGGACAAATGAGAAGAAAAACGACAACCTTTCTAATAATGCAGGGGCATGAAGATTCTTACACTGGACTTATTTCTGGCAAGAAAGAAAAGAAAAACCCTAGGAGGTCCAAATAATTCCCAATGCAAAATTCTGTTTACAATTATAATCTTTCCTTGGCAGAGTAGAAAGCCAACTGTGGTTGGAACGTGTCTTGCAAATATGGCATTGCCAATACAGTTTATAGCACCGACTAAGTAGGGTCTGTAGCATAGGATGGCAGCCCACAAACTGTGCCTGAAGTAGAAACAGCATATGAAAAAGACCGATCTTTTACCCCCTCACACATGGAGAGCCTGTGCTTTCTATTTGTAACGGCCTGAAATGGTAGGATTGCTAATACAGTCCTTAGTAGGACTGCCTATTTCTTTAATACATTTGCCTTTGACTTTTTTTTTTAAAGTAGAACATATTTTTTAAAAACCCAGTTTAAAAAAAAACCTTAGAAGATTGTTGCAGGTAAGGCGGTATAAACTCATTGTTAATGAGAACAACAATATTACTCCGCTGGAGGACAGAGTACTGAAGGCTGAGTTTGGCACTGTTCTGTCACTATGTGATTTTCCTCTTGATGATGGTGAGCTCTTTATGAAGTTCACTGAACTTAGGGCGGTTTTCAGGCTTATAATCCCAACACTTCATCATAATTTTAGAAATATCCTCTGGGCAGTGCTGGGGGGCTGACATCCTGTATCCTGAAGATCCAAAAGAAGAAGAGAATTTACAACAGAGATGTGATATAAATGTTCATACAGGGCATTATGCAATTTTTAATTTTAGTACCTTACATTGTATGTATAAAGAAACAAAAATTCCACTTCAGGGCACACTGATATTTTTTTTCTACAGGCAACACAGAATTCAATATTACAGAGCCACAGACTTACCTTCTAGTTCATATAATACATTTTTTGTTTGTTCATTTGTCAGAAAGTCTGATGTTATATCCCAAGAAAAGCATGTTTTAGTTGCTCTAAGTATTTGCTTTCAGATCAGATGCTGTGGGCAGAGTTTTACAAATATATATGTCTACAACCTATATTTTTCAAGATGAAGAGAGGATGAAGAGTTTATAAACACTAATTCAATGGTGAAATAAAAATGAATATCAGTCATATTCTTTTATAGTCTGTCATTTGGCAGCATCCCAGCAGTACATTGGGCAGGGTGTATAGGCCTGTATGTGAGGTTTGAGACGGCAGAAAGAAAGCTGAAAGGTATCTTCCTCCTCCTGAGTCTACAAGCATGCACCTTTCAGGGGCCTGATGTTAAGGCACCATGATTTTATCAAGAAAATTCTTTTTGTTGAAGCTATGGCCTCGATAAGTACATGCTAGAGGGTCACCATTACCTAGTTATCTCCATTTCTGATCTGGGATCACCACATGGTTTCTTCAGAAGTATCATGAAATTATCACATCCTCAAAAACTTCTTCCTGAAGAATAACTACATTTCAATTTGAAATATTATTCTGGGAGTTTATCTGGCATAGAATACAAGATAAGAGGTTGAAGAACACTATTTCCCTTGAAGACAGTGGATGGCACAACCTTGTAGACGTCACATGAGGCAGGGAAGCGGGGGAAGAAAAATCTACAGCTCTCTAAAGTGTAGGAAACCTTTAAAGTGTGTGTGTGTTTGTGTATAAGACCAAAAATCTGTAGTTTATCTAACATCTCTGCTCTTATGTACCCAAACAGCAGGTAGCTTTTCCCCCTAACCCCATACACAGGCTATCTGGCCAGCAGACACACACTCAACACTGCCTACTCCTGGGGCTGGGCGTGAACACTAACAACCCCCGTCTTTGACTCACCTCTTTCTACTTGCTCTCTTGCTTGTTGATTTGTCATTCCAGGGTATGGACAGACCCCTAAGCTGAAGGTCTCCCAGAGGAGGATGCCAAAGCTCCACACGTCGCTCTCAGAACTGTATCTCCCTGGAAGGGAAACAACCACCATAACCAAGTGAGTGACTGTGGAAATAGGTGACCCTTTTTGGTTATGTATGTCCGTGTCAGTCACATATTAATATCAGTCATGCCCTGCATAATGATGTTTTGGGCAATGATGCATATATTACAGTGGTCCCATATGATTATAATGGAGTTGAAAATGTTTATTGCCTAGTGACGTGGCAGCCATTTACCATTGTGCTACATTTGCCTAAAGTGTTCAGTACTGTGACATGCGGCAGAGGCTTGCAGCCTAGAAGCAATAGGCTTTACCTTACAGCCTAGGTGTGCAGTAGGCAATCCCATCTAGGTGTGTACTCTATAATGCTTGCACAACAACAAAATCACTTTACAATGCATTTCTTAGAATGTATCCCCATTGTTAAGTGACACATGACGTATTTAAGCTTGCCAAAGGAACTCAACAGCTAGTCTTCCTATTCTCTTTTCTGGTTTTTATATTCCAGGACAAGTAATATTATCAATTAAATGAATAGTCTTCAGGTAGGTAGTTTAATCAAACCAGCTTCCAAATTACTCCCCCAGGAACTCCCTCCCCTAGGAACAAATATTGAGCCAGCATGTAAACTTACTTTCCCTGTAGTATCTGAATGAGACGAATGGTTTACATAAAAGAGATATAAATTTGTACACATCAGTGCCTGGGAGATTAAACAAATTGGATTCCTACAATTTTGTCTTTTGCCTACATCATTTTTTTTCCCACTAAAATTAAAAACAAACTTAAAGCAATAAGGAAAGTTTTTAACTTCAATTTTTTACTCATCACTGTTTACAAATCTTACAAGCTTAAAGGTCTCATTTTCTCCACTGGGAGTTTCATTTATAGAAAATATATTTTTGTGTGTTTTGAAAAAGAGTGGAAATTCTAATAAAAAACAACTTCTTTAAATTACATGGTGCCTTGTTTTGTCAAAATATCTTGGTGTACCTGTTTTACTGAGTTACATGAACTAAGCTCCTAGAATTCTTATGGGAGTCTTCTAGAGAAGCACAGAGATAAAATCCAACACAAGATGTCTTCTGGAGATGGATGTGAAATCAAGGAGGGAAGCAGAAAAATCCTTTTCAAACTCCAACCTCTCCCAGAGGCTGTTTCCAAGATGTTCCCAACATTTGTATTTTTACTTGCTCTTATGTATAGGACATATACCATCATATCTAAACTCCATTTGATGTGGTGTTAAAGGTTTCTTCCATGATTTCATTTTCTATCCCTCCTGTATCTTCCTGCCTTAACTCTGCCATTCTAGGATTTATGAATGCTCCTCTCTGAAAATGTCATGTTACATTAAAATAGGATGGCCTTTCTCTTTCTTTAAAAAAAAAACAAACATGTAATGAAAATGAGAGTATGCCTGTACTCTCATAACTGCTTTGATGTTAGAGTTTGGAGAGCACTTACTGATGATCAGCTACAGTTGTGTGAATTAGTGTCCTTCATAGATAGTAATTATAGATATTAACTAGGCTCTTTGGTAGAAAGATTAGTTTTCTTGTCTGTATGGCAGCTCTTTTCATATTTGGCATCCAGTAAATTAATACTTTTCACGAAGTCATTCAATGGCTGCAAGTTAAGACTAATTCTTTAAGAAAGTGTAAGTTACACAGTTATATCTTAGTTTGTAAGATAATATCTGGGCATAGACCAAGAAAGGCATATTATATATAAACCAAGATCCAGAAGTTAAGGCTTACCACCTTACTCTATAACTTGGTTTTGTTGGATAATTTTAATAGGTCAAAAGTAACTTACAATTGTATAGTATTTTGCTATGTTTCCATGTCTCAGTTGATATTCACAATATCGAGTAGGGGAAAGGTCCTATCATTTTCATCTTACAAATTGGGATATGTAAGTTAGAGCAGTAGATGGCTTGTCAAGGGCATGCAGTTAATGACAACTGGTTGGGAACCCTGGTTCTTGATGACTGATTCAGGACTCTCTTCACTAAAAATCTTGCCTCCTTCCTATTTCAGAGTACTTGGTTACAACACACTAATTAGAAGATGTATCAGCCCAAAATACCCAAAGCAAAAATAAACAGATGATTTTTTAGTTAGAAATCAGTTTTGTATTTGTCCTTTAGAAACACAATACTTTAGTAACAGCAGTGGCTGAGGATGATAACAATACATGCTGAACAGGCTTTGAGTATGCTACAATTTTGCATCTTATTAAAAAGTGTGTGGGGAGACACATACACACACACACACACACACACACACACACACACACACACACACACACACATTTCTCAGCCATTTTTGAGAACAGTATAAGGCTGTAATAAGAGTATTTGCCTCTAGGAAGGGGAATTATGTGGCTAGAGTCAGGGGTGGGAAGGGGGTTTCATCATAGACCCTTTAGTATTGCTTGATTTTTTTTTAAAACCAAGTATATGCATTATCTTTTCAAAAATTAAATAATATAACACTAATGACAAAAAATATAGTGAAAATAAGTTTAATTCTATGGCTCTAAGCAAAGGTTCAGAAGGTTTCCTTGGACTGAATTTTTTTTCATCTATCCTGGCCCCGTACTTCATGGGACAGTTCAACAGTATTTCACCCATTCTAAGGCAAGAGTGAAGAAAAAAATCAGTGGGGAAGAAAATACCCTTGGAAATAAGGCAAATATTACCACCAATCACAAATGATATTTATATAAAACATGAAAGAACTATAACTAAAAGCAAGGATTCTCATAAATGCATATTTTTTCTCTTGTTGAAAGGAACGCTAGGGTTTAGAGCCAATCTTCAGTAATTTTTGTAGAAACTAAAACAACTACTCACGGTGCCATGAGAGGGTCTGTGGATTCATTTATGGACTCCCTCACTGGACTGGGTAATAAACACTTCAAACTTCTCCTGCATCCACTGCTAAAATCTCTCCTTCCTTGTCATCTAAATTTTTCTGCATTTTATAAAAGTAATATAGACTGCTAAAAAATGTCCCTCACTGCCAATCAAAGGTCTTCATACTTGTTCTTATTACTTTAAATGCTTTAGGTCTGACAGAGGCATCCAGAATTGAAACTTTTATTTATAAATACAGTAGTACTTTAGTCAGCTTGAAATTCAACTAAAATATATTGTGATCAAGAGGCAGAATTTTACATGGCATAACTGCTTAACAGTCAGAGGACTTTTAAAGGCTATATAATGTAGAGAATCTGGCAGAATTAAGAACAAATTCTAGAAAGCTGGATTTTATTGGTAAGATTGTAAGGACTCCGAGTCCAGTTATAGCTCTCTTGGTGCTTAAAAATGTTTTGTCATCTAAAGAAAACCTCTGTGTAAACATGAGTGTTGCATTCCTATCTTTTATCCTGTGACTGCTTCCCTTAGCAATAAAACCTTACCCTAGAGTAATAATAACAAGTACCCCAGAGAAGAATTATTATGGAAAATAGCAGCTTTGTCATTCTCTAGATTCCAAGGAATAGTGGAATTGGTTTGCAATCACTAGAAAGCTCACAAAAGCCTCTCTTGCTAGCACATGAGAAGACAAACTAAGGGTGAGGATTAGTATCTGTGTCATCTGGATCTGCCCCAACCAATTTCCAAACCAATTATACATTCAAAAGCTTTATCTGGAAAACATTTGGTGGTTCTCAAAAAGTTAAACATAAAATTGCCACTGAAAACAGGGCACTCAGTAAACCCTTGTACACAAGGATAATATGATTCATAGTAGCCAAAAGGTGAAAACTATTCAAATATACAATAGTGAATGAATGAATAAACAAATCATCACATATCTATACAATGTAATATTAGTAAGTCCTAAAAAGGAAGGAAATAATAATACATACTACAACATGAATGAACCCCTAAAACATTATGCTAAGTGAAAGAGGCCGGACATGAGATCACATGTTCTATGTAACCCACAAAAACAAAAGGCAACTGGTGACTGTCAAGAAATGGGGAAGGAAAGAATGGGAAGAAATGCTTAATGGGGACAGGTTTTAATTTTTTAATTTTTATGGATACATAATAATGGAATACATTTATGGAGTACATATGATATTTGATACAAGCACATATCACAACAAGTCATGATCAAATCAAGGTCAAATTGGGGTATCTATCACCTCACACATTTATTATTTATTTGTGTTGGGAGTGTTCCAAATTCACTTCTCTAGTTATTTTTAAATATATAAAAAGTTATTCTTAAGTATAATTACCCTATTATGCTACTGAACACTAGATCTTATTTCTTCTATCTAACTGTATTTTTGTACCCATTAACCAATCCTCCTTTATCTTCTCCTTCTCACTATCCTACCCAGGATTTGGTGACCATCATTCTACTGTCTCCTGTTTTTTAGGTTCTGTATATGAGTGACTTGTGATATTGGTCTTTGGTACCCAGCTTATTTCATTTAATATAACAACCTCCAGCTCCATCCATGTTAGTATAAATGACATAATTTTATTATTTTTGGCAGCTGAATAATATCCAACTGCATATATATATATACTATGTTTTCTAAATCCATTCATCTGTTGGTGGTCACTTAGGTTGATTATATTTCTTTGCTATTTTGAATAATGTCGCTGTAAACATGGAGGTGCAAATATCTCTTTCATACACTGATTTCTTCCCCCTTTTTTGGACATAAACCCAGCAATAGGATAACTGGATCATATGGTAGTTCTATTTTTCATTTTTTGAGGAGCCCCCATACTGTTTACATAGTGGCTATACTAATTTACATTCCCACCAAATGTACAAGTGTTCCCCTTTCTTCACATTCTCACCAGTATCTACATTTTTTGGTCTTTTTTATCTTATTTTATTTTATCCTTTTCACAACAGTGGTTTACTTTTTATTTAATTTAAAATTGCCCCTTACATTGATTTATATACAATTTATTTAGAAAATAGCTTTTGGTAACATAATTTGTCAAGAACCTTTTTTTGCCTATAGGAAATTTTTTGTAATGTAAATTCCAGACAAATTTAGTAACTTTTGAGATCCTCCAACTGAGCCAAGAATAGCTTGTCAAATAATTCTTAAAATGTTGTAGACATTTTGTGATTATAAGTGTGATTTATATTTAAATCATAAGAGGGTGCTAATTTTTCACTTTAGAAGAGTAGGCCTCTTCATGATGATCTGAGAGATTGTGAGAAAATCCTTTCACTCTCACCCCTAACCAAAAAAAAAAAAAAAAAGAAAGAAAAAGTTTTACAATAACCCTTGCATATTTTTTTCTCTGTCTCTCTTTAAAAAAAAAATTATTATAAAGATGTGGTATACATTTCAGGGTCAGGTATATTGATCATGCAGGTACCCTTGTTGATGAGGTATGCCCCTCCCTCCCCTAGCAGTTTCCCTCAACTGCCAATCCCACCCCCCCAACAGTTTCCCACTACTGCCAATTGCTTTCTTATAGCACTATAATTGTTCAAGGTCCTCTTATGAGTGAGAACATATGGAACTCTGTTCTTTGTTTTTGTGAGTAATCACTGACTATGATCGACTCCAAATCCATCTAAGTTGCTGCAAAGTCCATATATTTGTTGTTCTTTATGGCTGCATAATATTCCATCATGTATATGTACATTTTTTAAATCCAGTCCAGCTTCAATGGGCAACACGGTTGGTTCCATGTTTTTGCTATTATGACTAGAGCTGCAAGAAACATATGTGTGCAGGTATCTTCTTTGTAGAATAGTTTGAGTTCCTCCGGGTATATTCCCAATAGGGGAATTGCTGGGTCATATGGAAGGTCAATTTCTAGTTCTTTTAGGAATTGCCACACTATCTTTCAAAGAGGCTGCACTAGTTTGCATTCCCACCAGCAGTGTAGAAGTGTTCCTTTTTCTCCACATCCTTGCCAGCATCTGTTGTTTTATTAACGAGGCCACTCTTACAGGGGTTAGGTGGTATCTCAATGTGGTTTTGATTTGCATTTCTCTGATGATGAATGAGGCTGAGCACTTTTTCATGTGTCTGTTGGCTACCCGTATATCTTCTTTTGAGAAGTATCTGTTCATGTCTTTTGCCCACTTTTTAAAGGGGCTGTTTGTTTTGTTTGCCTTCAGTGCATTTGAGTTCCTTGTAGATCCTAGATGTTAGGCCTTTGTCAGATAAACAGTTGGCAATATATTTTCCCATTCTGTGGGCTGTCTCCCTGCTCTCTTGATGTTTTCTTTTGCTTTGCAGAAGCTCGTTAATTTGATGAGGTCCCACTTGTCTATTTTATGTCTTAAGGTATTGGCCTTTAGGGCTCTGAATAGGAATTGTTTCCCGTTCCAATTTTCATAGGGTATCTCCTGCGTTTTCTAAGATTCTTATAGTTTGAGGTTTTACATTCAGGTCTTTAATCCATTTAGAGCTAATTTTTGTGTAAGGTGATAGGTAGGGGTCCTGTTTCAATCTTCTGCATGTGGTCAGCCACTTTTCCCAGCACCATTTACTGAATAGGTTCTCCTCTCCCCAGTGGTTGTTGTTGGAGGTTTTGTCAAAGATGAGCTGGTTGAGGAATTGAGGCTTGGCTTCCGGGATCTCTATCCTGTTCCATTGGTCTATGTGCCTGTTCCTGTACCAATACCAGGCTGTTTTGATTACTGTAGCCTTATAGTAAAGTTTGAAGTCTGGAAGTGTGATACCTCCTGCTTTGTTTCTTTTGCTAAGGATTGTTTTAGTTATTCGTGTTCGTTTATGTTTCCATATGAATTTCTGTATTGTCATTTCCAGGACTGAGAAGAATGATGTTGGCAGCTTAATGGGTAGGTTTTTATTTTGGAATGATGAAAATATTTTGGAACTATATAGAGGTACTTCTTTCACAATACTGAGAACTGTGCTAAACACCACTGAGTGTTCACTTTAATGTGTAATTTTGTGGTATGTGAATTTCACTCAAATTTTAAAAATTTAAAAAGCTTTATCTGTCTTTGATTTAGACTTTAAATTAAGGCATTTATAAGTGCCTTACAACTTATTTTCTATAATGAAGTAGTTATTCACTTTAAATAAACAAAGAATCATTTAATAATAATTTTACTCAAAACATACCATACCCATTCACTAATCTATAGCTCATATGCTGCTTCCCTTAATGAAAATGTAATTTCTAATTTCACTTAAGGCATACTATGGTCCTCCCCCCACTGTCAAAATTTTAGAGTTGTTATCCATCTTGTTATGGCCCATTTCATTTCAACCACAGATAATACAAGCTGTATTTATTTCCAATTACAATGACACATAAAAATTCAAGTGAAAAAACCCTGCTGTTTTAAAATGTAATTCCTATCTCCCTTCCTGAAGATTTATACCAGTTCCAGAGACTGAGATGCTAAGAAACCATGTAGATTTCGGAGTGGGAAACTGAAGAATTGATTGACTGGATATTCTAGGAACTTAACATTAGATGAGGTTATTGAACCAATTATAAGGCACTCAAAAGAAGTGGTCCAGAGCCACAGCAACACTCCTCCTCTGTGTATAAACTATTAAAAATAATCATTTTTTCTGTGTAAATAGAAAACTCAGATATACAGTCATATTTAAAAGTACTTATAAATGTATCCACTTTTTAATATAGCAATCATAGACATAGAAATCTGATTAATAATTTCTACAAATTAAGTTTGAGCTCATGTCTAAGTGCAGAGTATGAACATTTACTCATCATTTCTGCTGATCCTGAAATCATTCTGGGTTCTTCTCTAGTTCTGTAACATTGCTTGTGAATGTTTTGTGCTGATGCAGTTCATTTTTACTATCAAAAGATCAAAACAGTCTATTCTTACCATAATTAAGAGCTTCTGGTGCTGTCCATTTAATAGGAATCTGCTTTAAACCAGAAGATGAATACACTCCACTATCCTCTTGACGAGACATTCCAAAGTCACTGATTTTCAGAACATTATTTTCACCTACCAGGCAGTTTCTTGCAGCAAGGTCCCTAGGTTACAATAAGACATAGAAAATACCTATTAAAACAAATTGAAAGCCGCTTTCACATTTATGACTTCCACACTTTGCATTTTTATATTTGCAATGTATTTATAATGAGGTTAAGAATACTTCTGATTTACCAGTCCTTCCCATCTTTTCTGTCATGGGTAAAAATCATCCACGAGAACATATGCATATGAAACAGGCCACACACTAGTTTTCTAGGGACCACATATATTTCCATTTAAATAGAAAAACACTGAGTCTAGGGTTAAAAGAGAAAATCACAGAGGAGAGGCTAAGCAAACTTGGCATTATTTCTCCTTTTACTGGCACTCCTAGATCAGCATTGCCCAACAGACCTTTCTTTGATGATAGAATGTTCTTGACCTGTGCTGTCCAATAAGGCAGCCATTTGCCATGTGTGCTGCTGGACACTTGCAATGGGGCTAGTGTGAACAAGAAAGTGAACTTTTCATTTTATTTACTTGTAGTTAATTACATGTAAATAGGTGCATGTGGATAGTAATTACTTGTAGACATTGACAGACTATCCCTAGAAGTTCCCAGAGGTTGAAAAATGGTTGCAGTGCCAGAGAGTTGGCAACTCTTTTTCTGTGGCGTCTAGGTAAGTTAAAACCTTATATAATTATCTGGCCCTGCTTCTCTCTCTCTCCTTTCACATCTTGCTCTGTTTTCCCTATCATTTACTATATCCCAGCCATATTGGGTTATTTTTTTTTTTGTCTCCAAATGCAAGACGATCTCCCGGAAAGACGCAGGCTTGTTTCCACCATAGAGGCTTTGCCCTTAGCTGTTGTCTTTGCCGGAGTGCTCTCCCATTGCACTGCTGACTCCTTTTCATTAATTCGTAGCCCAAATGCCCTCTTTGCAGAGAGGTCTTTCCTGTCCACCCTTAGCTGCCAGGGAAGATAGCTGCAAACAAAATAAAGTCTCTATCTAGTAAGGAGGACATTCAATAACCAAATCCATGTGCAGTCATCCCTTGGAATCCAAGGATGCTCACGTCTGGATATGAAATGGCGCAGTGTTTGTATATATCCTACACACATCCTCCTGTATACTTGAAATAATATCTAGACTACTTACAGTGCTGGTAAGATGGCAACAGCACAGGTGGGACAGTGAGATTCTCCGAAAGTGAGTTCCCATAAAGACTCTTGCTTGCCTCCCCCCACCCCCCGCTCACTGCCAGTTGCACCGGTTGGAGGCCTGGAGACCCTCGGCCTCTCGCACGCCGGGCTACCATGGCCCGCCGCTGCCGCTGCTCCACCCCAGGTGGCCGCGGGCCCCAGCTGCATAGAGTTCCCAGCTCCCTCCCTGGCTACACCATCTCACCCGGCCCCAAGCCGCCGCAGCCTGTGGCGGTCCCGGGATACCGCCTTGTGGAGCTCTGGGTTCCCTTGCTGGCTACACTGCTCTGCCCGGCACCCAGCCACTGCCAGCTCCCTTCCTGGCTGGGGCACCCAGCCCTGTCTCACGCCACCACAGCCTGTGGAGACCTTCCACGCCTGCTCCTCTGAGCTACCGGCTCCATCACTGGCGAAAGCGCCTCGTGCAAGGCCCAAAGCCGCTGCCTGGGCTTGTTCCTCAGAGCTCTGGGTCCTCGACCTGGTTGAGGCGCCCAGACCCATCTCAAGCTGACATCACCCAGGGAGACCTTAGGCGCCTACCCCTTGGAGCTTTGTGTCCCCGCCCTGGGTGAGGTGCCCAGCCAACTCAAGCCGCCATTGCCCAGGGAGGCTCTAGGCGCCCGCCCCTCGGAGATAACAGCTTCATCCCTGGCGGAAGCACCCTGCGTGGCCCAAAGCCACAGCGGATCCTGCCCATAGGAGCTTCGGGTCCCTGGCCTGGCTAAGACGCCCAGCCCCGTCTCAAGCTGCTGTTGCTCAGGAAGGCCCTAGGTGCCCAGCCCTTGGAGCCCCCACCCTGGTTGAGGCGCCCAGCCCCATCTCAAGCCACCATCACCTAGTGGGACCAGAGAACAGCTGGAGGTAGAGACCAGCTTTTTTGTTTGTTTGATTGTTTGTTCTTGTTTTTGTTTTCTCTTACTCTTATCCGTCTTCAGGTCTATTTTCATTTATTAGTGGGTACCTCTGTCTGTTCTCCCTTTTACTCTCCTATCTCCACCTCCTGCTTCTCCCTCTCCCTGTTCCATTTCTTTCCCTTTTCTTACATCATTTTACTTCCTGGGAGCAAACCAATACCCACACTTCATGAACAGATTATAAGGTAGTGGGAAGCAGGATCCAGAGTATCCATACACCTGTTAGTGGATACTGGGATCTGCAGATAAATTTTGAATCACAGCTTGCCCCTCAAATAAATCTCAAAGTAGCAAAAGGTATAAACCTCAACCTACAATCCAGCCTCAGAATCGAACAAAGCCAGAAGATTCACATAAGGAAGAATAGGAGATTGAGCAAACAGAAGCAAAAAGCATCCCCGCCACCCCAGAACAACAGATTTAAAGAAGAAAGAGGGAGAAAAAAAGGAAAAAGTGGGGAGGCAAATCTACACAAATGAAGAAAAATCAAAAGAAGAATATAGGTCTCACACAGACCCCTGGGAGATCAGATATTGAGAAAACAGACTTCGGAATGCAAACAATGAAGAGCCCCCAGAATGACTGGTTACATACTACAAACCCAGACATCAAGACATTAATTAGAGAGAATAGAAAGAATTGAGGAGAGACAAGAGGAAAATAGGAAGGAGTTGATAACTGAGATAACAGCAGTAAAGAATACTGTGATTGAAATAAATAACAAACTAATAAGCATGAAAAGCAGACTTAGCCAAGCAGAAGAAAAAAATTTCAGAACTTGAAGACCAAAATATAGAACAAAACCAAACTGTCAAAAACATAGACAAGAAGCTTAAAAAGACAGAACAAAACCTTCAAAAGCTGAGTGATTACTTCAAGAGAATGAACCTTGAGTACTTGGCCTTCCTGAGGCAGAAAGAGAGACAGAGACCACCCTAGAACAAACATTCCATGAAATTATTCAAGAAAACTTCCCTTATCTAATTAATGATGCGAAAATTCAAATACAAGAAATTCAGAGAACCCCAGCAAGACAACAAATGAGAAGAACTCGTAGGCGCATAATAATCTGCCTCAACAAAGTAGGTATAAAAGAAAAAAATCCTAAAAGCAGCAAGAGAAAAAGGTCAGACTACCTACCAGGGGAGACCAATCAGAATAGCAGCAGATTCATCTACAGAAACCCTTCAGCCTGGAGAGCATGTAGTCCAATATTCAAAGTCCTCAAAGATAAACAATTTCAAGCAAGAATAACCTACCCAGTCAAGCTAAGCTTCATCAGTGAGGGAGAATACAATCTTTCCCAGACATCCAATCCCTAAGAACTTATGCCGCCTCCAGGCCAACCTTACAAGAAACTCTTAAGAAAGTATTAAACTCAGAAGAAAAGGGAAAAAGAACAAAAATGTTCTTCACAAGAGTGCAGGAAAAAGATTGAGAACACACATGAACCAACCCAAAAACCAAAAGAAAGACAACAAAAAAACCAAGTACAACAACAACTCTATAAGAACAGCATGACAAACATAAACCCTCACATTTCAATAATTAGCTGAATGTGAATGGACTAAATGTACCACTGAAAAGACACAGAATGGAAAAATGGATAAAATATGAGGCAACAATATACTGTCTCCAAGAGACGTATCTTACCAGAAAGGACACTCACAGACTCAAAATAAGAGAATGAGAAACAAATTTTCAGGCATACAGAACACACAAAAAAGCTGGAGTTGTGATCTTAATCTCATAAAAAATACCCTTTAAGCTATCAAAAATCAAAAAAAATGAAGAAGGTCACTATATAATGATAAAAGGTTCAATCAACCAAAGAAATATCCATCCTAAACATATATGCACCTAATATAAGAGCACCAATGCTCGTAAAGCAGCTTCTAAGCAAACTTAAAAAAGAGATTGACTCTAACACTGTCATAGTGGGGGACTTTAATACCCCACTCACAATCCTAGACATATCATCAAGACAAAAAATCAGCAAGGACACCCAGAACCTCAATGAGACTCTTGAACAAATGGACTTCATTGATACTTACAAAACACTCGATCCAAAGACCACAGAATATACATTCTACTCATCACCACATGGAATGTACTCCAAGATCGACCACATCATTGGCCATAAATCAAACATAAACAAATTTCATAAGACTGAAATCTTGTCATGCGCCTTTTCAGACCACAGTGGAATAAAAATAAATATCAACACCAACAAAATTTCACCAAGGCCCACAAAGACATGGTCACTAAACAGCATGCTGCTGAACAACAACTGGGTCAACACTGAAATCAAAGAAGAAATTGAAAGATTCCTGGAAACAAATGAAAATGAAGAAATATTACCAAAATCTCTGGGATGCCATGAAATCAGTTTTAAGAGGAGAATTTATATCTCTACAAGCACACATCAAGAAAATGGAAAGATCACAAGTGGAGAGCCTAACAAACCACCTAAGGGAGCTGAAAAGAGAAGACCACCAAAATCCCAACTTTAGCAGAAGAATCCAAATCACAAAAATAAGAGCCCAAATACGGGACATAGAAGACAAAAATATCATAGAAAACATCAACAAAACAAAAAGCTGGTTCTTTAAAAGAATTAACAAGATTGATGGGCCCCTAGCCAGACTGACCAAGAAAAAGAGAGAAAAAGCCCAAATAGACAAAATCAGAAATACAAAAGATGAAATCACAACTGACCCTGAAGAAATACAAAAGATTACCAGAGATTACTATGTACACCTACATGGAAATAAACTTGATAACCTAGGTGAAAAGGAAGACTTTCTGACATCACACAACCTACCCAAGTTGAAACAAGAGGACACTGAGACACCGAATAGACCAATAACAACCCAGGAAATTGACTCTATCATATGAAAACTACCTACAGGAAAAAAAAGGCCTGGACCAAATGGCTT